CGGTGGGGTCTCCCAGCTGTCGGAGGGGCGGGGAAGTCAGCTTAAGTGCAGAGAAACAACTCTATCAGTTAACAGTCACAGGCTGTAAAAAAAAAATCACTCTAAATTCACAACGGACAACCTGTTTCCGATGTTCCCTGCTCCTTCCAGACAAGCCATGAGCTCTGGCCCGCATCGCCCGTCGTCCCCGTTCGGGTTTAGCGGCGCTGTGTGCCCATATCGCTCACTACTCACGTCGACAGAGAACGAGTTGGCCTGCTGGCGGGCGGCGGCCAGCTCCTTCCTCAGTGCGTCTAGCTCGGCGTCCAGCGCGCGGTCCAGCGCCTGCTGGGTCTCCCCGAGAGTACTCTCCGCGCCCGGGGTGGACGTGGACGGGGTCGCCGCTGCTGGCGCCGCCGTCTGGGGCTTCTCCTGTGACAGCTGACTGAACCTAAACGGAGAGAGATAGAATGATCAGCGAATGCGCTTAGAGATGAAAAACCGGCAACAACGTCATAGCATTTACTTCATGCATTTGGTCGATAAATTCTAAAATCATAAAACATTCAAATTGTTCGTCGATCCAGTGCTTAAGTTGTTAAATAAGCAATAAATTAAACCACGTTCCGCGTTGACTAGACGGCCCTCAGACACAGTACATTACCAAAACCATCTACAAAGCCAAGTTTGCTCCTGGTCACGACTCACTGTTGTGCCAGGTTCTTCCGCGAGGCGGCGGCGGCCGGTTTGGCGTCCGCCGGTGCGGCAGGGGTGGTAGGAAGCACCGGTTTCCGTTCGGCCGGCCGCGCAGCGCTGGCAGACACCGGGGCAGCGCCGGCGGACGTGGACGCAACTGAGGTCGCGGCGCCGAACGAGGGCGCTCCGACAGAGGCGGCCGCGGCGCCGCCGCTCAAAGACAGGCCACCGGCGGACGACGCTGGCGCAGCGGCTCCGAAGGAGAACCCTCCTCCCTTGGAGGCTGGCGCGGCTCCAAAAGAGAGTCCTCCCGTAGACGACGGGGCGGTGGTCCCGAATGGGAGTCCTCCCTTGGATGCGGCTGAGGCAGCAGCTCCAAAAGAGAGTCCTCCTGTTGTTGAGGTTGCGGCGGCCCCGAAGGACAACCCTCCCTTAGAGGCGGCCGAGGCAGTTCCAAGCGATAGGCCTCCCGAGAGGGCTGGAGCAGCTCCAAAGGAAAACCCTCCGGCGGAGGAGGCGGGGGCAGCTCCGAAGGTCGAGAATCCTCCGCTCGCTGGAGCAGAGGAGACAGCCGCGGCGGCCGCCGCCGGGGCGGCAGCGGCTGGCGTCTCCATCACTATCGGCTGGCGGGCAACGCGAGCCTCCGAGGCCTGAAAACGGTCAGTTAGTCAGTGTGGTTATATCTAACTGGCGGGTTGAATGTATAGTTATTTGCGCCCAGAAAAGTTAAAACACACAGCAGCCAGGTAGCAAAATTTTGTTTGGAAACTGAAACAAGAAACTCACTATGGCCTCCTGGGGCGGCTCGGTGACGGCCGGCGCTCCGTCCTTCAGGTTGATCAGGTGGTAGGAGCAGAGCAGTCCGGTGTCGGTCAGAAGGTGCAGGGTGGGTGCCGGCGGCAGCTGCGAGCTCTCGCCCCAGGGCACCGGCCGCTGGCTGCAGCTGCTCACGGCCAGGCCGGTCGGGAACAGCTCCCGTCCGTCGGCCAGCGGCAGCTCAGCGCGCGCGTCCCCCTCCAGCAGCCAGGGCAGCCAGCCGCCGTCAGTCGCCGCCGCAGCTCCCAGCACCGCCACCTCCAGCGAGCAGCTGGAGGCGGCCAGCACCACCGACCACTCGGCCACGTAGTGCAGGTAGTACAGCGGCCGGCGCTCCTCGCCAGAGCCGAAACACACGTCCTGGAAGGCCGAGTAGGTGGCGGCGCCCTGTTTGGGCGCGCTCACGTGCACCAGCTGCGGCTGGCAGTCGCCAGCGGCCAGATAGCCCGCCATGAACTCGTACGTGTTGAGCCAGCTGACGGAGACGGCCTCTGGCGGCGCCGGCTGGTCGGCCAGCGGCGGCGCGGCGATCGAGCGCGCCTCGCTCAGGTCGGGCCGCAGCTGGGTCAGCCGGCCGTCCCGGCGGCCCACCACCAGCTGCTTGCCCTTCCGGCTCCAGCAGCCGCACCTGGAGGCGGGAGGGGGGGGCAGAGAGAGGTGAGAGACTCATCGGGTTGGACGGGGGGAGGGAGGGAGAGGGAGAGGGAGAGAGCCCGACGGAGAGGAGGCAAGCTAATAACGCTCACCGGATCTGCCCCTGTCTAGCTACTCGAACCCAACCATCCGGCGCGCCTGTTTATCTCTGCTATCATATTCGGCCCACGGCCATGCTGCACTGTTTTACAGCCGCTCACCTGACGCCGATGGCGGCCGGCAAGCGGTGCACGGTCACCGCTCCCGTGTCGGCGGCCACCTGGAACAGCGCCAGCGAGCCCGACTGGAACACCACGGCGACCAGGTCGGCCTGGACGGGGTTCCAGAGCAGCTCCAGCGGCGGGTCGGCCGGCTCGGCAGACAGACGCAGCTCGGCGAACGGACGCACCTCCTGTCGGCACGGAGCACACAGAGTTAGCTGTGGGGCTACCAGACGACGCTAGGTTCTGTGCGCACGGAACACACAGCTGTGGGGCTGCTAAATGGCTCAACACCTTACAGAAGGTACAACAAAGTCTAGCATCAACATGGAATTGCGACAACCAAGCCCAGACTAACAACACCACACAAAGGTTGTTTCGTCATAACCATACGAATGGCTGCAAATTGCATATTAACTTTGAAGGTCAAATCGTTTCCCACTTCAACTAAAATTTTAACTACAGGTATCGTAAATGTTATTTCCACCGAGCTATCAAATCACCACCCTACGTCTAACTGTCCCACCCCACTGCTGTCGAGTGGGGAAGCCCAGTCATGTACTCGTAAATCCAATCGGCCGGGAGTTTGACCCCGTTAGGCAGATAGGTGGTAATCATGGCGTACTGGCCCGCCCCAACCCGCCCGCCTCACCTGGTCCGCCGCGAAGGCGCGCACATCATACAGGTAGCCGTGCGCGCAGTTTTGGCGCGTGGTGGCCACCAGGAGCGTCAGCTGATCGCCGCTGAGTGCCACGTGCGTCACATCGGCGGCGAGCGTGGCGCGGCCGGCCACCGGCGGCGGCGCGGACGGGTCGCGCTCCGGCGCCGTCAGGTCGGCCAGACGGACAGCTGGGGAGGTCAGAGGTCACAGTCAGAGGTCAGAGGTCACGGCCAGAGGTCAGACGACACGGGCATAGGCTAGAGGTCACGGTCAAAGGTCAGCAGAAGGGTTCAGGAGGTCAGAGGTCACGGTCAGCTGGTGACAATGGTCAGAGGTCAATAAAGAGAGTAGAGACCATAAGTTAAAACTTAAAACGGTGAATATTCTTAAAAGACTATTGTATATCCATCAGTACCTATCGTCTAAAGCGATATAGGGCTCCATACCTTTGACGGTTTTCCCGAGGGCGACGAAGAGCAGGCCATACTTGTTGCAGGCGGCCAGGCAGGAGCTATGTTTGGCCGCGAATGCGGGCTTCTCCTCAAACGAGGCCGGCTTCAGCTGCAGGAACCGGAAGTCCTGCAACAAGGACGTCAAAGGGTGAAATATGCGCGCTCACTATATACGCAATAAAACTACGAAACATTAGTCGCTGGGAACGTGTAATCTACAACGCAGAACTGTTTAGTGTTTAATGATGTTGAGTTGGGTATCTAATGAGTCTTCTTCATTTATATGGCGCTAGTCGTTGAAATCATCGGCATAGTTTACAATCAGCAACAATAGAATCGATACTCGAGTAAATGAGAGAAGCGGAAACGGATTCATCTAAGCGGCTTCATATCATTCTTTAAGGCATTTTGTCAGTCAGCGGGGCAGATGAATTGGCAGTTAGATAGCCGACGACCTGCAATTCAACGCTACCCAAAACAAAACAGCAGTCAGCGTGACGTCATCACAATTCGTATGACATCACCAAAAGGACCTTTCATTCGTTTATTTCCATTGTTGACTTAAGCCACCGGAGCTATTCGTGACGATTCACACGGGCGGTTCCAAAGTTCAAAATGACAGTGCACTTTTTATAAAATCCTGCTGTGATCACGTCCAGGCGGGGCTCGAGGTCAAAGTGTGTGCGTAGGACTCATGAATACGTAACTGCCAAATCACTGTGACTCGGCGATATTTATGACTTTGACCGCCTACCTTCCTGGCACGGGCAAATAAACGCGCGCACTGTCACGTCCATTACGTTACGAACCTCATGATACGATAACATGCGAGCAATAAACACAGAAGGCATGATATGATTGATACGCCGGTGTGTGGTTAGCTTAAATTCATTGTTTGCGCAAGAGTTTATTGGATATGATGGCTGCATGGCAGGCTGTCATGACCGCTATATCTATAAGAAGTAGCCATGGCTAAATCCGAACACATAGTTATCGAAGATGTTTCTCGGCTTACCTGCACTTCCACCGGGCAGCTGGCGTCGACCAGCGACATGGTGACACAGCGGTGTCACCCACCGGCGGCCCGGCTGTCAGAGCGGTGTCACTGGTGACACAACTTACACAATCGGTCGCTCAGTCGCAGCTCAGCGTCTGGAACAAAGAGACACGAAATTACATGGGAACGAAGATATTTTCATTGCCAATATGACCCATGTGAGGTAGCAAAATCTTTAAGAGGTCCACAGAAACTGGCACGTGACGAAAAATAAATATCCCAACACGTTGGACATTCCATGATCGTGTTTAATCTATATCGCAAGACGTAAAGCACTACCCTCGCCACTACCAGGCGACTCTAGCAGTAATCCGAAAAAGGGGGAGCGAAGCAAACCTTCCCGATCCTTCAGATGATTGCCTATCGGACATCGGAAATTCCCAATCACACCACTATCACTGGCTGATAGGGCGCCGGACTTTACTCAGGAGTGTTCAGGTGACCAAATCTGCTGACAGCGACGCCTCGATAACGACTCTTCACAGCGCCCCGGGCGGCGGCGGCGGAGAGACGCCAAGTCACGCGGCAGGCGCTCCGGGCGGCAGCGGCGCCCAGTCACGCGGCGGGCGCTCCGGCGGCGCAGTCGGTGAGCGGACGGCGCGCGACTCGGCCGTCATGGTGCAGGTGGTGGGACCGGTGCGCGGCGCCGTGGCCGCCCTGCTCGCCGCCTTCTGGTCCGGCGTGTTCCTGCTGCTGCTGGCCGTGCGCCGTGTGACGCGCGGGGCGGAGGCGCTGCAGCCGCGCCGCCGCCCGCGGCCGGCGCTGCTCGACGACCCGGCGCTGGGCGCGCACAAGTTCGCCACCGTGTTTGGCGGCATCAAGCTGCACTATGTGGAGAAGGGCGACCGCAGCAAGCCGCTGCTGCTGCTACTGCACGGCTTCCCGGCGTTCTGGTACTGCTGGCACTACCAGCTGAAGGCGCTCTCCCAGCACTACTGGGTGGTGGCGGTCGATATGCGCGGGTACGGCGAGTCGGCCAAGCCGGAAGGCCGCGACAGCTACGACCGGCAGCTGGTGGCGCAGGACCTGTTCCACCTGGTGCTGTCCCTGGGCCGGCAGAGCTGCACCGTCATCGGACACGACTGGGGCGGCATCATCGCCTACGAGCTGGCCAGACTGCGCTCCTCGCTGGTCGAGAAACTCATCATCATCAACGCGCCGCACCCGGACGCCATGGAGGAGGTGCTGCAGCACTCCTGGGACCAGATGTTCCGCTCCTGGTACATCTACCTCTTCCAGCTGCCCTGGCTGCCCGAGCAGGTGATGCAGCTGGACGACTTCAACATGTTCACCAAGATGTTCCACGAGAACCCGTCGGCGCGTCACCACTACCCGCCCGAGATGGTCGACGCGTACAAGTACACGTTTGGAGAGCCGGGAGCGCTGACACCGCCCCTTAACTACTACCGGCAGAACTTTGGCTGGCGTTGGCACCGCGGAGAGCCAGCCCAGGTGGCACGCGTCACCTGTCCCCTGCTAGTCATCTGGGGCGAGCGAGACCGGGCGCTGAGCCCCCTGCTGGCCACCATGGCGGCACGCTACGCCGACCGCTTCAGCGTCCACCTGCTGCCCAACGCCTCCCACTGGGCCATGATGGAGGAGCCTGACGAGGTCAACGAGGCCATCCGTGGGTTCATTAGCGGCCAGTAAGGGCGTCCCGGTGGCGCACGGCGCCCGAGCGAGGGGCGCTCTGGGTCCAGCAGCCGGCGAACAGCGGCGGTCGTCCGCGGGTCTCTGCCCACTGTCTAAGGCCGCTCCAACCCCGCCTCCCCCCCCCCCCCCCGCAGTGTGATCGACGACCATGTATGTGTGCGCACAGATAGATGTGGCTGTGCGATATAATCGACGCCGAGCTGGTCGGAGACTGGAGAGTGAACTTCAGTACATGGTTTGACTATTGCGACTTGTTGTTATTGACTACCCCTACGAGCTATGAACAATAAATGCTGTTTGGGTCTGGGTGATACATTCACGTTGATACCATGGCAAACGATGATGAAACAGGGCAGTCGGTGCCCGGTGGTCACTCAAACACCACATCGGTAATACGAGATCGGTAATACGCTGAAACGTTCAGCTGGCTCCAGCGGGCGCCTGATTCTAGACCCATATTAGCGCACCAGCCAGACCACTAGGCCCGCTCGTTTACAGCTAGTTCACACCCGCGTCTCATCCGTCCGTCTCCAACCCACACTAGCAAACGGCTCGCCCGCCCGTCCCCAGCCCAATCTCGCCCGTCCGTCCCCAGCCGAGTCCGGCCGCTCAGTCTCAAAGAATCTTGGCTCAGTCTACCCGAGGGACGATTCATTGATCTCAATAGCACCGAGCGGGTAACTGCCGCTCGGCACAAGGTCACGCCGTCAGTCCTGGATAAGTCATTTTGACAAGATAAGTAGCCGCGTAACCACATCGCTCAGGAAGACGTCTTTCTGCCGCCATGGGAGCGCGGACGATAGACGAATCCCAGCAGATGGCATGCATATTCTGGTGATCCATCTTTACTTTTGAAAGGTAATAGCAAAAAATAATGTTATGTACCACTTATTCTAGGTTCCGGCCACATAAAAGGTCACCCTTTCACTCCACCCCACCTCCTGGCTAGGCTTTCAGTATGTACCCTCCATATGTACATATGGGTAAACTAACCATCGCCCATGAGCGTGAGCCCCATGGCAGAAAAGCGAGCCAAACGAGCGTGTCGCTTGGGACAAGGTGAAGTCAAGGGTATCCGATTTTAAGGTCTCTGTCATAATTTGACCTTCTTGATCGGATTATTGACCAAAATACGAGGGGAAAAGACCGGCTAAATCTGCTCTAGGTTAGCCTTTTTTCTAGGGTTTGTAACTTGGGAAAATAAATAACGAGACCGGGATATTTTCATGAAGATTATCAATTTATTTATATTCTAATTCAGACATCTTTTCATAGCCAGTCAACAGCGTCATAAACACAAATCATGTCCCATCACTGGAATGGCAATGTTTTTATTTGTAAGATATTACATGAAATCAGGGATTGGGCCCAGTGGGTTTACAGAATTGGAATTAAGAAACTGTGACTAAGCCCAACAGTGTGTAAGATCAGATAACCAGGTAAGAAAACCCAGTGCTGTGGGTGGGATCCAGATCTGATGAGATGTGATCATGGAGCTTGACTTATTATATGTAATGAAAGATCGCAGTGGAAGCTGAATGTGGTAAATGTAGGCAACATGAACTATGTAATATGTATGCAAGTATAGTGTATACATCCATTGAAATAAGAGCTTTCTACATATTGCTATGGTTTCTGTTTCACTGCTCAAGGCCGAGCAGATTGAATAGCATTCCATTTTTATGTGTAAAAGGGTACTTAAGTAGAAACTTGATAATGAGCAACAGGCATAGGGCAGGTTTCTGAAAAAAAAAAAAATGCTGCACACTTACCAAAATTGATATGCAGATGCCAGGAAATATTGTGGGTGAGTGGGTATAAGTATCAGGATGCAAAACATTAAACATCTGAAAATATATCTTTTTACTTGGTGACAGGGTAGAAATAGGAAGGGGTGACAGCACAACTCAGCACAATGGACTATAGCAATAGGCCAAGTGTGGAGTAGCAGCTAGCATTCTGCACCAATGCATGCACAATCTGCACTGATCAGTGGCATGCTTCAGCTTGGAGGCTTGGAGTGGGAACTTAGAAATGAAGTCTATCCTTTTCAAAATACAATATGAATTAATCCCTCAACTAAATATTGGGATATATGCATTGGATTCTACTGACAACAAATCTCAGCACTAATTCCATTTGTGGCATTCTTTTCTAGATTAAAGTCAATGCAAAACAAACTCAAGCTTGATTTAAACCTACAGTGTTCTTGCATGACCTATCCAACAGCTAAGTTTTGCATTGCCTTATCCATGATTATTGAAAATGCAATCAGTGTAGCTGGTAGCATGTAAAATCAATATGTAACATGTCACTAACATTTCATTTGTGCAGGTACATCTTTAACTTTATTCATTGAATTTTGTCAGTTCATTTGTCAGAGCTCATTTGAAAAATTGCATCAGTTTTGCATGCTGCTGCATAAAAATAGTTCAATGCATTGTTTAAAAATCTACCAAAACAATAAAGCACACCAGCCCCAGGGCTGCAGACTTGATGGATTTTCAGGTGACTCTGACTCTGACTCTGACTCCAGCTTCAAAAATCAGCTCCCACTCCAGCCCTGACTCTGGACTTTTTTCTTAAAGGGACCCTCCCACCTTCAAAAAAGTTAATGAATTGGCATAAAAGTGATGTAGCGTGAATCACAAAGAGCGAAAATGAACATCTACCAAATTTTACCGGAAAATATTCACCCGTTTTCGAGATATAAGACTTTTATTTTTGTTTACTTTTTGGGAAATCCGCTGTTTCTATGACGTCACATAAAGGTTTTCTTTACGTCGGCATTTGGAAGCAATAGTTTGGTATCAAAGTGCGACAGATATTGCGCGAATGACGCGTTTATCTTAACAAGGTCAATATATGATGGCCAATAAAGGATTCCAGGACAATTCTTATGGCATTTCTTCGTATCGCAATTCTTCGTCTGCAAATCTTCGTCAGGGCATTTATTCGTACCTATCGCATTACTTTGTCTCGCACCAGGGTATATGAAAAACGGCTCGCATTTCTTCTTCAACGCAAATATATGCAAGAGTAAGCATTGAGGGACAAATAAATGCACCGACGAAGATTTGTAGACGAAGAAATGCGGACGAAAAATTGTGCTACGAAGAAATGTCATGCGAGGATTCGTTCGGGTACCATGACGGTGATTTCAAAGTCAAGGTTCACAGCTGATCTGCTAAATCAAGCCAAGAATCCAAACTATCAAAAAACTATAAATATTTGTTTGTCTGTCACAGAGGTCTCAAGCAATATAAGGTTGACATATGTTGAATCAAAAATCTACTGCCACAACTCACATCTCCTGCCTTAGTTTATCATTGTTGTTTTAACTTGCTTTCAAGAGAAACAGAAGGCAGAAGCCAGTATCTGATATCACTTCAGATGATTGTTTCAAGATCTGAGTTCAAATGGAAATAAAAGCAAGCTCAAGATGAAACAGGGATTATTGCTGTTAAAGTAGTTTGGCCATGATACAACAAGCACATAAATCATTAGCCAAATCAAATACTGGTTGGTTTGTCAAGATGTTTGTTGTCTGTCGTCTGTCGAGCTGCTATGAACACTGAACGCTCTCACTCTTACTTTAAAGATAGTAGTTTAAGTTGAATGGTAGTGAGCTGTAATTAGACAAAGCAGCTATTCAGTGCTCACATCAAGCCAGGCTAGGAAATGGCATCAACTGTGGTGGGAGGAAGCAGGTTCGGCAGCCCTATGTTGTAAACTTCTGTTATGCCTTGTGTTTGATCAACTGATGTTTTCTGCTCTGTTTTGTGCAGTGATAGTAGCAGGTAACTGCATGCTTGTCAAATTATGTGAATAAACGAAATCATAACATTGCATTTTTCTCTCCATGCAAGGAACAAGTAAGATGTTGTAGAAAATGTAATAGAGGGCTGCATTGCTGATTTTGCACTTTATCAGAGCTTTATTTAGAATTGCTTTCCTGAAAGCTACACACAGGCCACAGTGCTGAAATTCACAATGTCATAGCTTTTGGCAGAAAAAAGAAAAGACTTACCCAGGTAAAATTGGCTGAAAGTATGGCAGAGCAGGTCTTGATGCGTATGCCCATCCGTGTGCTTGCCGAAGCCGAACTGACTGCAACACATTTAACTCTGACCCACCATGGTGGCTGGCATATCCTGAACTTTCACCACTCTAAACAAGACAACTTTCAGCCCTCAGCATTGTATTAAAACACTGTACAAAACACTCAAAATTTGTTTCAGTGCCATCCACAGACAACATCAGTCGCCATTCACCAGGCCAGTAAAAACAGAATAGATAATAGCTTCAAACCCATGTAGTCAGAGTTACTAGGTCTGCACCTCAAAACAAAATCCAGGTGACAATGACATTCACCACGCCAGTAAAAAACAGGTACTTAGGTAACATAACAGCTTCAAATCTGGTAACATGTTGGTCGGACTTTACGCTACCATATTTACATGGAATAATATGATACCAAACAATAGTGCAACCATTCTGGATAACAAAAGTGTATGATAGAATTAATTTAGAAAACTTTGGCAGCATGATTTACGAGCACAGGCAGGTGTTACCTACCAGCCTTCTCAATGCTCGTAAAACCAACATTGTAGTTTTGATTTTACCTTACATGATAACACACTTGGCTGCAATGGCACATTTAATTTAATACTGTGAAAAGACCAGTTATAACCACTTCACAAGCACAATTGCACCTCATGCCGACATCCTTTTCCAAAGACAGTCAGCAGCGTCTTTCGTCAAAACTGGATGATCAATCCCCTTTCAACTGTAAACATCAAAAATATTTCTTCATGGTGTGATCTCCATATGGAAACCTTGCAGGAAAAGAATTAATGTCAATTGTCAGCTCTTCAAAATTTCTTTGGACTTTAACTTGGAGTACCATATCCAGTTTGCTTTGATATTTTGTTTTTTATTCCATGTTGAAGTTGAACACCAAGCTCCAGATATAGCAGGCAGCTTGATCATCTTCGGCCTTGGTATAATATCAGTCCAAGTTCCAGTGGTGGGTATCTTCTAATATTCAAATTAAAATGAAAAGCAATAGGCTTTCTCAGCGCCGACGACGGATTTCACGTTGATAAAAAAGGGAGCTCAAGGTCAGCAAAACTCGGGTTCAAGGAATGGCGGGCGTTGAAATGACTGCTGACGTCATCAAGAAACCGCTAATGGTTAAGAGATAGGGACTAAGCTGGTCCCACCCTGCAAGTAAAGGGAAGAAATTTCTTGAACACCATAAAGCTGCGGGGGTTGCGACCAGGATAAATGGTGGTTTCTGAGCCTGGCCGCAA